AGCACAGAGCAGACGTTAGTTACGATTCCTTAGTGATGTGAACTGCTGTGCCGCAGACTCCCCCCTTCTCCTGCAGCCTGGCAGACGGAACCGTACCTATTTGGCAGCCACGGTATTCACTCTGATATTCAACTCCTATTTAACTGCCTACTGTGTACCGGCCGTGGTTCTAGGCCAGTGCCATTCAATATAAATATAACACAAGCCCCAAGTCTCACCCACATAAGCAGCTTTAAATTTTTAAAAAGGGAAAGGAGCCCTAGCCGGTGTGGCTCAGTGGATAGCGCGTCGGCCTGCGGACTGAAGGGGCCCGGGTTTAATTCCGGCCCAGGGCACAGGCCCGGGTTGCGGGCTCAATCCCAGTAGGGGGCGTGCAGGAGGCAGCCGATCAATGATTCTCTCTCATCATTGAAGTTTCTCTCTCTCTCTCCCTCTCCCTTCCTCTCTCAGAGAAAGGGGGGGTCGGGGGGGGGGGGGAAGAGGAGAAAAAAGAAACAGGTGAAATTAATTTTGGTAATATATTTTCTGGAACCCCTATATTCAAATATCATTACTCGAGCATGTCATCAATATTAAAAGTTATTGAGATTTTTTTACTCCTCACCCGGGGACTTTTTTCCACTGATTTTTTTAGGGAGAGGGGACGGGAGGGAGAGGAGGGGAGAGGGGAGAGAGAGAGAGAGAGAAACGTCGTCATGAGAGAGACACACCATTGGTTCCCTCCCACACGTGCCCAAGAGGGGCCGGACGAACCTGCAACCGAGGCACACGCCCTTGGCAGGGAATCGGACCCCAGGCCCCTTAGTCCGCAGGCTGGTGCTCTGTCCAGCCAGATTTTTTATGGCCGGCACATCCTTTTAAATTTCTTAGTTGTGGTAAACACAGTTTAAAAGACAGAACAGAATTTACCCTCCGAACCATTTCTAAGTGCACAGTTCAGTGGCACTGGCACACTCACAGCCTTGCCGCCGGCAGCACCGTCCCTCCCCGAGCTCACCATATCTCCCGTCTCTTCCACCACTTCTCTGAGGTCTGACACGGAGGACACAGCTCGGCCCCGAGCGGCGGGGCCAGCACTGACGGTGGACACATGTGGGCAGTGGCTCCGGTGCTGGACAGAGAGGGTCTGCTGCTGGGGTCCCCTGGGTGCCCTGGGTGCTCTGGGTGCTTGGGTCCCCTGGGTGCTCTGGGTGCCCTGGGTCCCCTGGCTGCCCTGGGTCCCCTGGGTGCTCTGGGTGCCCTAGGTCCTCTGGGTGCCCTGGGTCCCCTGTGTCCCCTGGGTCCTCTGGGTGCACTGGGTCCCCTGGGTCCTCTGGGTGTCCTGGATCCCCTGGGTGCTCTGGGTCCTCTGGGTGCCCTGGGTCCCCTGGGTGCTCTTGGTGCCCTGGGTCCCCTGGATGCTCTGTGTGCCCTGGGTCCCCTGGGTCCTCTGGGTGCCCTGGGTCCCCTGGGTGCTCTGGGTCCTCTGGGTGCTCTGGGTGCCCTGAGTCGCCTGGGTGCACTGGGTGCCCTGGGTCCTCTGGGTGCCCTGGGTCCTCTGGGTGCCCTGGGTCCCCTGGGTCTCCTGGGTCCTCTGGGTGCTCTGGGTGCCCTGGGTCCCCTGGGTGCTCTGGGTGCCCTGGGTCGCCTGGGTGCCCTGGGTCCTCTGGGTGCCCTGGGCCCCCTGGGTCCTCTGGGTGCCCTGGGTCCTCTGGGTGCCCGGGGTCCCCTGGGTGCTCTGGGTGCCCTGGGTGCTCTGGGTCCCCTGGGTGCCCTGGGTGCTCTGGGTCCCCTGGGTGCCCTGGGTCCTCTGGATTTTGCTGGGGTGCTCTGGGGTACTGCTGGGGTGCTATAGTGCTGTCGGATTGCTCCTGGATGCTGCTGAGGTGCTCTGGTGTGCTGTGGGACTTGGGGTGCTGCTGGGACTAGAAGCCAGCACACACCATGGGGAGTTTAAAGTCTGGTGGAGGGGACAGACAGGAAACATGAATAGATCAGATGGTCTCTGATGGAGTTAGGTCTCCAGAGAAAATAAATAGGGCCATGGGCTAGGGGGCTCTGGGGACTGGGGGTCAGGGTGGGCCCCTCAGAGAGATGGCCCTGGAGCTGGGGCTGAAAGAAGCAGCAGCTCCACGAAGACCCACGGTGCTGCGCCTCAGTGCTGCCCATGCTCCAGACTCTGTGCTGAAGTTTAAAAATATACACACAGCCCGGCCAGCGGGGCTCAGGGGCTGAGCGTAGACCTATGAGCCAGGAGTTCAGGGTTCAATTCCCAGTCAGGGCACATGCTCTGGTTTCGGGCTCATCCCCAGTAGGGGGCGTGCAGGAGGCAGCTGGTCAAATATTCTTTCTCATCATTGATGTTTCTATCTCTCTCTCCCCCCTTCCTCTTTGAAATCAATAATCACTTTTTAAAAAGATCTCTAGTTTAAAATATATAGAGAGAGACACCTAACCCAACTCAACCTGCAGAGTCAGAGCAGCTGTGTGCGAGGCCCAATGTGTGCACGCACGCATGCGTCCATGTGTGCATGAGTGTGTGTGTGTGTGTGTGTGTGTGTGTGTGCGCGCGCGCGCATGTGTGATCCTGGGGCACAGCCTGGAGCTGTGGCAGGGGCTGGGGATCAGCGGTCCAGGGGCCACTGCTCTACGCGGGTACAGCAAGAAACAATCTTGGAAACTGGGGGAGCAGAGGGGAGGGCAGAGCAGGAGGGGGCAGCCAGACCCTCCAGGCAATGGGAAGGAGTTTGGGTTTTACTCCAAGTGGGTTGGGAAGCTGTTGTTGGACTCGTTGCAGGAAAATGCAAGGTCTTCTGGACAAAAAAATTTGGACTCTCTTTGTCTAAGGCAAATCCTATATAATAAAAGCCCAGCGACTGAAATAGTGGAATGACCAGAATGACCAGACACCGGAACACCACCACCCCTTGCCTCGGCTGGCCCCACGCCCCAAGGAGCAGTTAGGGGTGATTAGGCAGGCAGGCCAGTGGTTGGAGCGATGAGGCAGGCAGAGGCAGTTAGGGGCGATCAGGCAGGTGAGTGGTTAGGGGTATTCAGGCAGGCAGGTAGGGGCAGTTAGGGGCAATCAGGCAGGCAGGCAGAGGCAGTTAAGGGCAATCAGGCAGGCAGGCGAGTGGTTGGGGGTGATCAGGCAGGCAGGCAGAGGCAGTTAAGGGCGATCAGGCAGGCAGGCGAGTGGTTGGGGGCGATCAGGCAGGCAGGCGAGTTGTTGGGGGTGATCAGGCAGGCAGGCGAGTGGTTGGGGCGATCAGGCAGGCAGGCAGAGGCAGTTAAGGGCAATCAGGCAGGCAGGTGAGTGGTTGGGGTGATGAGGCAGGCAGGTGAGTGGTTGGGGCGATGAGGCAGGCAGGTGAGTGGTTGGGGCGATGAGGCAGGCAGGCAGAGGGGTTAGGGGTGATCGGGCAGGCAGGCAGAGCAGTTAGGGGCAATCAGGCAGGTAGGTGAGTGGTTAGGGGTGATCAGGCAGGCAGGCAGGCAGAGGCAGTTAGGGGCAGTCAGGCAGGTAGGTGAGTGGTTAGGGGCGATCAGGCAGGCAGCAAGCAGTGAGTAGCCAGCAGTCCTGGATTGAGAGAGGGATGTCCAACTGCCGGTTTAGGCATCAGGCCTAAACCGGCAGTTGGACATCCCTGAAAGGTCCTGGTTTGCGAGAGGGTGCAGGCCAGACTGAGGGACCCCCCACCCTGCACAAATTGCATGCACTGAGCCTCTAGTAATAATAATAATAATAATAATAATAATAATAATAATAGGTTTAAAATGCCATGTATTATTGCCTTTAATCTGGTAATGGGGAAGGACTTGCAGGGCGGGTGGTTAAATATGGATGTGTCTCCACAGAAGGGCATGGAATCCGTTGGTCGGGAGGGAAGAGCAGACTCACCCCTGAGCAGAAGTCATTCTGCGGGGTCTGGGGGCTTCCTGACCTGCCTGGCCTCGCAACTGGTCGTGGGAGGGAGCCCCAGCCTCCGCTCTCCTCACCGCCGGCTCCGCCTCAGCCTCCTGGTTCCTTCTGTCATTACAGCTTTCGTTAGTCCATCAGGCTGCTGTGATACCCCTGCTTAAGCAACAAAAACTTCTCTCACAGTCTGGGGCTGAAAGTCCAAGGTCCAGGCACCTCCTGAGGCCTCTGTGCTGCAGCTGCCGCCTCTGGTTGTGTCCTCACAAGGTCTCTCCTCCGAGAGGGCACCCCAGGTGTCTCTTTGGGTGTCCAAATGTCCTCTCTTCTGAGGAGGCCGGTCAGGTTGGATTAGGGCCATCCCGTTGGCCCATTTAACGTTAGCATCTCTTTAAAGACCCCAACGTGCAGTCATTTCTGAGGTCCTGTGGGTTAGGGCTTCAACATATGAATTTGGGGGACACAGTTGAGCTCCAAGTGGCAGGTGGATGGAAGGAGAGCAGGTGCCCCCACCCCTACACACAGAGCAGTGATCATATTTGGAAGGTTTACGTAAAAGGCCCTTCCACCAGGAAAGGTTTCCAGACATAATCAACCCTCGAAACCACACCTCGGATACCAGCTGAATGGCAACCCTGCCCCACCCAGCCCTGAAGGCCAGGCGTACTTACTGAACACCTACTGTGTGCAAGTTCCAAACTCAAGCATTGGGAAATCTAGGGACCTCCCCACCCAGTAGCACGGATTAGAGAGGGATATAAATAGCCATGATCTGTGACAGAGGGAAGCAAATAAAACAGAAGGAGTTGGTCCACAGGGCGAGGGCGGGGGGAGGAGGAGGACGACCAGGTGACTTCCATTCGGGGGGGACTGGAAATGAAGTAGGTACTGTTTTCCCCTAGCTTGACAGATGGGGAAACCAGGGCACAGAGAGGGTAAGTGGATTCCACAGTCACACCGTGAGTGACAGCTGGGATTTAAACCCACGCCCTTAAGCACTACCCTGTTTTAAAGGGGAATGAGAGGGATAAAAGGAGACACGCAGGTGGGGGCACACTGAACGGCGTCTTGAAAGCCGGCTAAGGGCTTCTCCTTTACTCTGCAGACACAGGGGTGCCCTTGAAAGTTCCTGACAGAAGTGTGACCCCGGCCGCTGGGCCTCGGGGAACGCAGTGCAGGGCTCGAAGCTTTCATCTGTGAGCTGGGAAACTTCCCTGCCAGCACCGTCCTCTCTGAGGCCGCCTCGCAGGTGAGTGTGCACGCCCAGCGGCCACCTGCACTGTCCCACCCCTTTCCCCAGCAAGGACAACAGCCAGCACCGACGCCACGCCATGCCCAGCGCTTTGCGGGCATCATCCCCTTTCAGCCGTCCTGAAAATGCAGGCCCGGGGGCGGGGGGGGGGGGGCGCTTTACAGATGAGCCGGTGTGATGGTCTGAGACTCCACTCACCTCTGACTCTAAAGCTCACATTTTGAATAATAACAGAATAATTCGTGTTTCCTGATGGAAAATAGAGACGCTATAGAGCTGGAACTATTGTGTGAGCCTCACCATTTTACCAGGTTGAGCTTATTTTTCTGACTCTCATCAGGACACAGCCTTTTCTTCCCAGTGGAGTAACCATCTCCATCCTCCACCCCTTCTCCCCGCCCACTGAGGCTTGGCAGACACTTTCTCCTTCAGGTTGCCTCCAGCCTTAGCAGGAGGGAGGGCGGGAGGGAGCACATGAAACTGGCCGCATTCCGCCCCACCAGCTGTCAACACACACCACCCACCCTGGGCAAGTGGCCGCTTGCATGGCCGGGGAGGGGAGGGCCGTGGGCTCGTGTGCTCGCCGTTGGCACCCCCAAGTCGTCTGCCCATTAGGATGCGATGGCATGGCGCCTGGCATGGGGCCAGGGGGGCGAGCTGTCTCCCCACATAAACGTAATCGTACAGCACATAGCCCAGTGCAGCCGCGTCCCGGCAACAAGGAAGCAAACGGCTTCAAGGCTCTGTCAACAAGGGTTTGGAGACAGGAGCCACCCAGGAAATGCGCGTTCCGAGGCCTCCACAGGAAGCCACCTCGGGCTCACCCTGTGCCCAGGAACAACGGAAGGGCCCACCTGCCTCCATGGGGAGCACAGTCCAGCTGCAAGGGGCCCAGGCCGAGTTTCCTAGCTGACTTGGCGCCCCCCGCCCCCCCGCCCTTTGAGGCTTTTAAACATTTTATAAAAGTAACGAGTTTTTGGAAAACTGTCGCAAATACTAGAACCCAGGTTGAAGAGTAAGTCTAATCTGAACTTCTCCGGAAGCCCCTGTAGACACTTGATCCCAACCCATCCAGCATCGCCCCGCCCCTTCCCCTAAAGTCGCAGCTCAATGCTAAGATCCCTACACTTATTTTTTTAACTGAATTAATTGGGGTGATGTTGGTTAATACAATTATATCGGTTTCAGGTGCCTAACAACCACCTTTCTTGACAACCCATTTTCCCATAAAGCTATAAGCTCACTTTTTTCCGTGTTGATATAAAAAATAACTTTCTCCTTTATTACTTTTTAATCATACAAGCAGTGTCTGTTCGTTGTAGGAAATTGCAAACGACAGATAAACTAAAAGCATTTTTTAAATAGCCACAGAGCCTTCCACACCAAGATAAGCCGTAAGACCCTCTGTTTAACCCCGTGCACACTGTTCTTCGCCTGCACACAAATCCAGTTTTTTAAACAGAAACAGTTAACCGCCCTTCTCGGGCCCCGGGCGTGCACGTGCCCGCGCACAGTTGGCCGCATCCTGCCGCCCTGTCGCCACGGCGTTGGTGTCCACCCAGAGAAGACAGCGATGAGGGTTTCATCGGCACGAGGTGTGTTCATCTTCCAACCTGCGTGTGGCGCTTGGCCACCAGTCGAACAAGGAAGTGACGAGCAGGAGCCCGCTGGCCTCCTGTCAGGACGGCTCCTCCGAGGCGTGGCCTGCTGGCCAGAGGCCAGACGGGTGCTGCTGCCCCGTGAAGAGGCCATGCCAACGCAAGGGGTTTTCCGGCAGCTCTGGCCACACCTGACGTCCTGGGGTTCAGGGGCTGTGGGCTGGGCGGCAGGTCATGTGTCAGACTCCTCCTGGGATGGAGGCTGATGTAATCTTGGGCCGGTAGTAGAAAAACCGACAGAACGGGTTCTGTCAGCGCACAGCCTGGCACAGCACTGGGGGCGAGGGGTCCACGCCGCGGTGGCCCTGGAGCGCGGGTGCGAGGTGTTTGTCTAACCTGGTGCGTCCAGGAGGCGGGAGGACCTCGGCTGACTCTGTCTCCCCGTGCAGCGCGGCGGGCGGGCGGAGAGGGTGCGCTGACAAGCGCCTTTCATCTCACTAGTAATTGCCCGTATTAGAAAACATACGTAATTAGGAACCCGGGCCCTGTGATTTGCGGACGTTGTTGCTTAGGACAGAGCTCAAGCAGGTCTTTAGGTAAAAACAGTAGTGAGCCAACAGAAAGGACGATGTTGAGTCCAGGAGCGTGTCACTGGCGCCCAGCTGCAGCCCAGACCAAGCAGGCAGCCAAGCGTTAGCCCCTAAGAGCACAAGCCTTGACCTGCCCTCGAGGCCAGAGGCCCTTCAGCGGCAGCTCCGTGGCCTTCGCCCTGCGGTGGGAGCTGGCCAAGGGTCCCGAGGGAACGGGAAACAAGCGGCCACCGCGGGTGTGTGATCGGAGTTCCCAGAACCGGGACGCTGGGCCAGGCCGCCACGCCTGCAGCCTTGTGGCAACCGCCTCCGAACTGTGGGCCTCGGTTCACCGCCTTCACCATAACTTAAGCATTGATGTTTGAAGTGAGACTTTTTGTAATTGATTTTTTTAGAGAGAGGGAAAGGGGAGAGAGAGAATCATCGATGTGAAAGCAAAACAGCCATCGGCTGCCCCCGTACATCCCACAGGGACGGAGCCCGCAACCGGGAGTGAGGCCTGGTCCCAGCAGCAGCACCAGTCCTCCGAGAAGTGTCGGCTGAGCGGTCCCTCCAAGTGCCTGTCTCGTGGGGACCCTGCGGCCCGCTTTTCGCATGGTGCCGAGGGGCGAGGGTGTGCGGTGCCCGAGGGGCGAGGGTGTGCGGTGCCCGAGGGGCGAGCGTGTGTGGTGCGCTGAGCTCCCGGCTGAGCCTACTGTGGGGGGCGGGCAGGGCAGGTCACACCCAGAGAGCAGACCGGCTCCCCAGGCCCTGGCGCCTGCTCCCACTCCCCGCAGGGCTTGGCCAGTGCTGCCCCAGCAGCAGCTCTGAGCACTTCCCTGACACCATCCCTCATCTTCCATCGGACCAGCCAGAGGGGCACTGGCAGGATGGAGGCTGTCAGGTCGGGGTGGAGATGGGGGCAGCCCCGCCTGCTCACTTTGCCCCCTGCCGGCTCCTGTCGTGGCCACTGAGTTCTCAGCTCTCCTTGGCCGTACTCCGTGCCTGCAATTGGCCTAACGGGCTCCCTTCCTCTCCCAACACCCCTGTTGCAAAGCTCAGCCGTAAGGGCTCTCAGGGAAGATGGGGACAAAGGGCGTGTGATGGCACCGGAGCAATGACCACATACGACGGGCTTTAGAGAAGGTAACAGGAGGAGAGAGAGGGGTGGGCCCTGCCCTTCTGATGCAGCGCCTTCAGCAGGAGCCCCCACTCCTCTCCCAGGAGCTGAGCATTAGCCCAGGAGGAAGGGCTGGATCGGGGCCAGCGCTGCTGCTCCGTGAGGCGTGGGCCACAGAAAGGGCTCCACAGGTCGGCCAGCAGCTCAGCACTTCGCTCTCCCAGCCTCGCACCTGGCGGAGATGCGCAGGGCCAGGCGCCTGCTGCGGGGAGTGAGGCTCCGTTCCACCCCTCACCGGTCTCCCTTCCGCTGGGACAAGTGTAGGAAGTGCTCTTTCAGAGGCCAGCACCCATGGGCCGCATCCACGGCTGCTGGTGCCGGGAGCCGGGTGTAGGGATAGCTGTTCACAGGAGTGGTCTGGGAAAGCCAGTTGCCAGCCATGGGGGCCTTGGGGGCCACTGGAGACATTGGGGACCATGGGATTTGCTTGCCAGGGAAGGACCAGCCCCACAAGGGGCAGAGCCTGGGAGGCACGTCTCCCGCTGGCCATCTCCCCTGAGTGACAGCCCTAACGACCCAGGGTGAAGAAGGGGCCATTGAAGGACTCTGCTGCTTGCATGACATAATAGCAGTAATAGCAGCTACTGCTGGCCCAGGCCCTGTGCAAAGCGCTTCCCAAGTGTTACCTCATTGAAGCCTGGGGTTCACATCTTTTTTTTTTAATGTTTTTATTGATTTTAAGAGCAAGTGAGAGAGGGATAGAAAAAATAGAAACGTCGACGAGGGAGAAGCATCATCAGTCGGCTGCCTCCGGCACACCCCCTTCTGGGGATGGAGCCCACAACCCGGGCATGTGCTCTGACCCGGAATCAAACTGTGACCTCTTGGTTCCTGGGTCGACACTCTACCACTGAGCCACACTGGCCGGCCAGGGGTTCATGTCTTTACTGTGTGTCGATGGATGCTTGGTGCCTACAACGGTGCTGAGCACACAGTCAGTGCTTAACAGTGACTGATTGAATAAATGAACAGATTAAACCTTGATTTGTATTAACCAATGTTACACCAATAAATCGAATTTTTAAAAAACATTGATATGGTCCAAAATGCAAAAGGTGCATAAGGAGTAACTTGCTTTCAAGTCTCCTCCCTGCCTGTCCCCCAGCCGCTCCTATGACCACTTTCTGGTGTCTCCCCTGAGAGGTAAAGCTCTCTCTTGTCTACACAAATGCATATGCTGATCTGCCCTTTCTTTTCTTCCACTTAACCACACACCCTGGCCGAATCCTCCTTCTCTCATCTGCTCTAATAAGATCCCTGGTCCCCCGCCTGGGGCCTTGGAGGAAGCCACTTTCCTGTCGCCTCCCCCAGTCCCACGGGGTTTGGGTTTATGGTGAGCGCTGCCCTGGGTGAGCGCAGGCGGAGACGGCGGCTCTATTGCTACACCGCAGACTTCCCCGACACCCACCAGAGCGCGTGCAAGAGGTCGGGTGTCTCACCTCAAGGCGTGGCCAGGAGCCAGGGGACCTGCTGGCTATTTCCACCTCCACCTGTGACTCACTGAGTCGTGGGTAAGTCCCACTCTGTGAAATGGGCATAACTAGGCCGCCCCGGATGCAGAGAAGGGCAGGGAGACGTAGGCGGACACGCTGGGCAGAGATGGCATGTCTCTGGGCAGCGCACGTGTCAGCCAGGTGGAAAGTAATCAGC